GTGCAGGAAAAAAAGCAACTGAAATGATCAAGGGGCTTTAGAAACCACAATAAAGCATTGTAACATTTGGGGATTTTTAGCTTAGAAAGCAAGGGAGCTTGATAGAAGTGTATGCATTTGTACATATTATGAATAAAGTTAACAGGACTTTATTCTTTTAATATTGGAAATTAGAGTAATTTGGTTGAACTGAACATTGACAGAGTCGTGACATGTAAAAGACTGTACTTTTTCCTATTATTCACCCCATAGTTACACTCCACAATTCCCTGCAGCAGCTTGCAATGCTGGCTATTCATGTGGACCATTCTAAAAGGAAATTGGACCAATTGAGAAGGATAAGCTCTGGTGGATACTCTTCATAATGTTTCTGTACTAGCCAATTAACGGGAAATAAGAGCAGGAGAATGCAAGGACAACTGCAGAATTTTTTCTAGGGAGGTGGGCAAAACTGGGAATAATTTGCATGTATTATATTATGTATGCCACTACAACACATCTCTCTTTCTAAATTACATTAATAAAGAAATGCAGAAGTCAGAGTGGGGTAAGTACCCCGTTTACTCCTCCTCCCCTACAGGGCAAGGTGGCATATCTGTCCTCCCTGTGTGCTTTCCAAAGGCAACTGGTTGGTCACTGTGTGAACAGAACGCTGGATTAGATAAACCTTTGGTCTGACGAAACACACTTCCCCTTTTACTCTTACCCTCTCAACTAAAGCAATAATGAAACTTACTAGAAACGTGTCAGGATTCCTAAGCTTTTGTGGGTGTTGGTGTGTAGATCTCATTTCCCCCTGCCTTTCCACTGATTATTTTTGCTCCCCAAATGCCTGAGCTAATATGGTCAAAAAGTCACATTTTACTTTTCTGGCACAGAGACTGAAAGGAAAGTTACATGCAATCTCTCCAACCGTGCTGATGAACATGATCTGATAATCAGACGGGGCAAAGAGGTGGCAGAAGCAAGGGCTGCTCGGCTCCTCCAAACCATCGCCCGTCTCCTCCTTTCTGCTGATTCCCTCTCCTGTTGAACAGATCAGATTCTTCTCCAGTAACTCAGCACTGGCCAGGATGACACCATAATAAGCGAAAGATATTGCAAGCCTGTGAAAGAGCAGCAGAAGGAATCGTAATTAGAAATGCAACATTTTCAGTCATTTTTCAGGCATTACAACAAAGCAATTACAAAGGTTCAGAATTTTCAGTTCAAATAAACAAAGTAGCATCCTTCTATCCAATGAATAGCATGTGGAATGTTACTGCTACAGAATCTGTAAATACTCTTGATCCCTTAAGCAGCTCAGTGCTCACAAGGGATCCTAAAGTATGGAGAAGTGCCTTGGTATTAAATTCATCCCTTGGAACAGTTAAAAACATCTGGCATTTCTTTGTAATTCTGTTGAAGTCAATGGTGAAACATTAACTTCAGCCCACTCAAGATCTCATGCAAGTTCAGAGTCCTGATAGTTTTTCCAGGTGAAAGGAAGTAATGCAACAACTACCAGTACCTTGCTCATACAAGACTTCAGATGTGCTACTGGGCCAAACAGGACTGAGGGTCTAGTCCACCAAAACCTAAATGTATAGAATATTTAAGCTGGAATCCATACGCCTGTCTCTATATGTATAATTTTTTCTACTCTAAGCCTAAATTTTGCAAGCTGACTGCATAACACAGCATATCTAATATATTTTTATTTCCTGATCATTAAATTTAAGGTGTTCGTTTAGCACATGATTTTGAACATGTGCTCAGATGGGGGGGGGGGTTTAATAGTGATTTCCTTCTTTTGATTCCCTCCATTGCTGGAGTCATGAATAGACTCAGAAAATGATTTATGACACAGCAAAAGGAAACCCAACCATCAGAGCCCAGGTACATAAAGATTCGACATGTGATTCACAGCTATAATGATGCAGTCAGCAGAATGCGGTGTGTGTGTGTGTATGTGTGTGTGCACATGTGCAAGATTGTTGACAGAATCTTTGCACACAGTGGTTTGCTGCAATGCTATACATCTGTGCAATTTCAAAGGCAGAAGAGATATGTATATAGGCATACAGTATTTCATTTTCTGCATTCATCTTTTCTTCCCATGGACTTTCCCAAGTCAAAGAAGACAGCAGTAGGTTTTAAACAGGGTTCCATTAGCTGTCATTTTGTAACAGAGAGGTAGCTGAGAAGTCATCGGGCCCTCCAGGACAGAGAAGGTGGATTATGCCTTCAATTACCATAACCAATTTTCTGCCTTTCTAAATGACTAGTTTTTGAATAATCGCTTTCTGAACCTACTCCCTTGACATCTTCTGTTGATTTCAGGATGCTGACGCACTGTCCCTGAAAGAAGCAAGTCAAACACATTTACCATATGATCCATATCTGCAAAGTTGTCTGTAAGTATTTGGGATCCACGAGGTCTTTCAATCTACCCCTTTTTTCCTGAAAATAAGTTGAAGTGAGTAGTCAGAAATGCATTTGAAATGTGTGGCTCTATCCCTAAAGAGTAGCCCCAAGCTTAGAAGCAGTCTCGGGATCACAGCTTATATCATATAGATAGCAGGGATATTGGCAAGTCTTTGGGTCCAAATCCCATGTCCGAATCTGAGTCTTTGTCTCAAAGTCTCAAGTCCCAAGTCCCAAGTTCAAGTGCCTATTAAAACCCAGCTTTGTCTCCAGAAAAAAAAAAGGATGAGTGGGCAGGTTCTGCATTATAATTGGGGGGAAAAAGAAACTGAGTCAACTCCAAGTCAAGTCATCAGTGTGACTTAGAGTCTGACTTGACAGCAAGTCCAGTGACTTGAGTCCCCATGAGATGGTTTTGGTCCTTGTGGCATTTTTGACAACAACTCCCATAATCTTGTACCCTTGCCCATGCTGCTCGGGGGTTCTGGGAGGGGCCAGCCACCAGTACTATGTCAATAGACTCAATCTTACATCAGCAGGTTCCACCAGCTTTCCTTCAGGCATAACAGAACGGTTCACTTTAGCAATCCACTGCAACGTAGCGAGGGCAGCTTTCTCATTTCCACAAGAGACATTATATCGAGCAGACTCGGGGATAAACTGCAAGAGGAAAATAGATTTAAAAAACTGAAAAATTGGAAGAAGTTCAGAAGAGGGCAACAAGGATGATTAGGGGGCTGGGAAGTTTGGGGGAAGACACTTTTCAAATACTTGAAAGCTAGTCATACAGAGGAGCGACAGGATCTTCTCTTGATCAACCCAGAGTGCAGGGCATGCAACAATGGGCTCAAGATAAAGGAAGACAGATTTTGATTGAATATCAGGAAAAATGTCCTAACTTTTAGAGCAGTATGACAATGGAACCAATTACCTTGAGAGGTTGTGAGTGCTCCAACACTGGAGGCATTCAAGAGAAACTTGGCAGATATCCTTTGCTCTGTAATTCTAACTTCATTATTCTATTAAAACAATCACTGAACTATTTCCAATACTAGTTCCTCCGGACATATCAATGCATTAAAACTAGTGAGAGGATGTATTCGCAAAGGCTTTCACGGCCAGGATCTAATGGTTGTTGCGGGTTTTTCAGGCTCTTTGGCCGTGTTCTGAAGGTTGTTCTTCCTAATGTTTCACCAGTCTCTGTGGCCGGCATCTTCAGAGGACAGCACTTCAGAGGACATCTGTGCTGTCCTCTGAAGATGCCGGCCACAGAGACTGGTGAAACGTTAGGAAGAACAACCTTCAGAACACAGCCAAAGAGCCCGAAAAACCCACAACAACCACTAGTCAGAGGAGTTCACCTCAGAAAAAGTGTGTCTGCCTGATATTCAGAGATTCCTTTCCTCCACGTCACAGCTCTCTCCATTCAGATAGGATCCGACCCAATGTTCTAGGTAGCATTTTTAAGAACTGGAGGAACTGTTCCAAGGGAGGAAGCACAAACAGATCCATTTGTCAGTTACTCTTTTCCCTACATTATACTTTTTAACAACCCAATGTCTTTGCACTGAGCTTTTAAGCAAATTTGCGACACTGCAGTATTGTTTTGCAAATAATTCATATAAAAAAAGATTTGAGCTACTAATTTCACACAATGGTTTTCTTTCTTCATGACCCATTCCTAGAAAGGTACACTTTGTGCACAATGTATTGCCTGGAGCAAGGTATCACAGCGATACTCACTCTTTCCTGTGAACTCCATAGCTTGAAAATGTGGTTCCTTGATCACAGAGATTGCCACTTACCAAATCAAGCATCTACCAATCTACGTGTGTGATCTGAATGGCAAACATGAGCACACAGCATTTTGTTTTGTATATTAGTCCATTACATAATGTGGAAGAGATTGTTCCTCAACTTCCTGCAGTACGTCAGCAAAACGTGGTGCATATGGAGCCAGGCTTGGGTTTAGAAAGCCATCTCCCACTTCCTGTTTAGTTGTGAGAGTCAAATTGCAGCTCTGGATAAATCCACTGTCTCTAAGACTACTTTGCCACATTAAGACATTGGCCATGCTATTCAGAGCACCAACAGAAATAAGTAAATATTTTTAATATTCTTGCATTCCAGGTTTTTTTCCTCCGCATTTTGCGAACTGCTGGATAGCTCACTGGTTTACACATCTGGTTGTGGAGCCAGAGGTTGGGAGTTGGATTTCCTACTGTGCCTTATTGACAGGGGCTGGACTCGATCATCCATAGGGTCCCTTTAAATTCTAAGATGATGATGATAAATAATTGTAATGAAGCTGGTTTTCTTATGAGTTTTCCAATTTATTAGCTGTAGTAATTTCTTTGAAAACAAATGAAGCTGGTTTTCTTATGAGTTTTCCAGTTTATTAGTTGGCATTTCCTTCAACTGATTCATACTTTCATTCAATTTTTATACTGTCCTTCTAGCAAATTACTACTCTGGGCAGTGTACAACAAAAATAAACATAAATTATGCAGTTAATATAAACATTAGCTGCCAGATAGCTCAGTGGTTTAAGGCAGTGGTCCCCAACCTTTGGCCTCCAGATGTTCTTGAACTACAACTCCCAGAAGCCTTCACCGCCACCTCTGCTGGCCAGGATTTCTGGGAGTTGAAGTCCAAGAACATCTGGAGGCCCAAGGTTGGGGACCACTGGTTTAAGGCATCTGGCTGCAGAGCCAAAGGCTGGAAGTTTGATTCCCTGCTGTGCCTCCTTGAAAGGGGCTGGACTCGAGGATCCAGCTCTGCAGTTACCAGATTATTAGGCCACCCCACACAAAAATAACACGACAGACAGCAAAACCATTTCAAAAACGTACAAGCATATTACAATATTTCTCTCCTCCTTCTTCCAGCTACTTGGGGAGAGTCTCCCCAAAAGCTTCCTTTAATAGCTCTGTTTTAAAGAAATTTTTAAGTATACAGAGGGGCTGTGTGCCTGCCGTAGCTCTTGCAGGAGACACTCCATAGAGAAGGCACCACTGTTGAGAAAGTCCAGTTTCTGGTTACTGTTTTCTGGGCCTCACTATGTGCCAATACCAGCAGGCATGAGGGCCTGTGAGAATCAGATGAGAGGGGCAGCCAAACTTGGCAGAATAATTCAGACGGGGAGCAAGGGCCCAAACCTGAACTTATAGCTGCTGTTTCCACTCCTTCATTCAAGTCTCCCATGAAACTACTGTTCAACATCACACCCACAATAACCAATGTGCAAAACTCCTTGACCTTTTCCAATATAACAGTGAACCTTTAAATCTTATGCCCAGTGCCCAATTGAGCGTCCAATGAGCAGAAAATTCTCATCCATGCAGCAACGCAGGATTGCACCCTTTCACAAGTGTTGCTATTATGCAGTACTGATCTGATGAACAAGACTCATGCATTGCTTTTGCAAGTGGCGTCATTCTGTGTTATTATGCTTGCAGAACCTTCCATTCAAAAAAACTCACTACTATCCTGTCTCACCACCACAACCCATCTACAGTGGTGCCTCGATTCTAATTCGGTTCCGGAATTCCAGTTGTAACTTGAAATGGTCGTAAGTTGAAGCACCATTTCCCATTGAAATGCTTTGAAATGCAATTAATCTGTTCCGGCCGAAGAAAAAAAATCACAAAAAAATAATAATATTCACTGCAAGACCCATCAGAAACGTGATTAATCCGTTCCGGCTGAAAGGGGGGGGAAGAAAAGCAAGTGAAGCGTGCAAGACCCATTGGAAATGCAAAAAAGCAAAGCAAAAAGCAAGCAAACAGCACAAGAGCCATCAAAAATGGGGGGGAACCCAAAAGCAAGGAAACTCCCCAAGACCCATCGGAAATGGGGGGAAAACCAAAACACAAACAACCCCTCCAAGACACATCGGAAATGGAGGGAAAATACCAAAAAACTAACAACACCAAGACACATCGGAAATGGGGGGAAAATACCAAAAAACAAACACACACCCCCAAGGGCACAGCACAGAAACATAACCGCCCAGCCCAAAACCACGCTGCAAAACCCACCTAGAACAGTTTTTAAAAAGCAGAAAGCAGCACCTTACCTTACCAGGCAGTCTGAAGCCTTCTCCGATCCCCCACTCTCCAACTGCTGGGACGAAAGAGCTACAAAGAAGCACCCTCTTCGCCTACCAATGGTTAGCAATTTGAATTTCCTGCCTTTTTTCCCTGCCTTTTTCTGTTCAAAACTGGAAAGTCCAGCCTCAAGTTGAAGCATAATTTTGCAGCCGGAGCTGGTCGTAACTCGAAATGGTCATAAGTCGGGACGTTCATAAGTCGAGGCACCACTGTAATTTATTTGTGAGTTGCTGTCCAACAGAAACTGTGGCTACCTTGACCCATTGTTCAGTGGAAGAGACCCATGATAAGCACTTATGCTACAGGTTCTAGAATCCTTTTTTATAATAACCTTAGAACTGTAGAGCTGCAAGGGACCCTATGGATCATCAAGTCCAGTCCCTGTCAAGGAGGCACAGTGGGGAATCCAACTCCCAACCTGTGGTTTCACAGCCAAAGACCTAAACCACTGAGCTATCAGCATGGCCACCGTGGTTTCCAGAAATTGAGTCCAAAAAGATCAACTTTTCCATATTCTTGCCACGACTAACTGTAGCTGGATTGGTGTGTATATTTCACAAACCAATATAGGCTGAAACAATCTGATGCTGTCCAGATGTATTTTTGCATGACTGCCTTCGTAGACCTTTGGCCATGCTGGTTGAGGCTAATGGGAGCTGTAACCCATAGTCTCTGGAATACATCAGTGTAGCTGGCTACTATTGCACTAAGGTAACTGTATATATGAGCTATTAATTCAACTGTAAGTCTTGCAAACCTTAAATGCGAGGATGAGAAGAATCCCTGGAATAGAGGCAATTCGTACCAACCATCGCCATCCAATGGTTGGATTAATCACCGATGCTAATCCAATAATTAATAAGGAGCCTGCCAACCAAAACACCTGTCAAATGGGGAAAGAGAGGTTAAAACATGAGGTGATGTGGGCTTCTCCACTTATTATTTGTTTAAGCAGCATCTTCTCTCCACAGTCACATCAGCATTCATGACTTCCTTCAAACTGCTGTTGTTGCATAAAATGCTATTAAGGAAAGAGATTTAGTTATGCTCCCTGGCTTCCGATTCACAGTCTGTCAGTAGAGATTTTGATAAAGTAAGCACTCAGCTCTGGAAGGTTGAATGTCAGCTGTCAGTCTTCCTCTGTGTGTAGTGTGCTACTCCTTCAATTACTGGAGAATAAATTGATTCAGTGCTTGCAGGCAGACATGTTGAAGGTTGGAAGAGTAATAGTGAAGACAGAGAACTCGCACCCAGTTCTGGAGACTCAGGTTCAAATCCTCATTCACCTGTTAAGCTTGCTGAATGACCTAGTCATGCTGAATCAAGCTAACCTATCTCAGAGGCTGTTTTGAAGTTGAAATGTGGATGGTGGAGGGAAACTAATGTATACGTCTTTAGTATCTTGGGGGAAAGACAGAACATAACACATACCACACTGATTTTGTCCAATTTTGGAAGCCAAGCAAAGTTGGTACTTCAGTAGGAGACCAAACACCAGGGAATATCACAGGAATATCCAGGTAGGGCTAGGAAGGTGCTTGAAACACTGAAGAGACACTCCCAATCAAATTTGGCCATACTAGCTAGACAGACCAATGGTCTAACTCAGTATATATCGGCTTCCTCTATTGCTACGATAAATGCAGTTAACAGTAACAATGTTGTTTCATTTGTACATGTCTATTTTGCCTCATCCACAAGCCAGCCCACTATAAAACAGATCAAAATGCCCACCTCAAGCAGCAGCAAATGTAACGGAGCATGGCATGGATAGAGTGGTATGTCCCACATGAGCTTGGGAAAGTTACTTTAAGGATTTACAGCCCCCAGAATCTCCAAGCCAGCATTCTCTTCCAGTGCTGGCTGGAAGGATTGTAGAAGTTACAATTCCCAAAGTAACTTTTTCAAGCTCTGGGCCTGCCCTGTGTGCAGCTGGCTGCTTTCAGGAGCCATAGAAAATGCTCTCTAGTGCTGGAATAAGATTCAGGCAGCATTCAGACTGGTTTTGTGCATAGAATATGGGAGGCACACTGCGCCTCAGGAAGCAATGAAAACAGTGACAGACCCTGCTCTGCCGTGGCACAAGGTAATTTAAAATCAATACAATTTAGTTTAAAAGGAATAATTCAGTAAAAAAAGTAACAAGAGTAAAAATGGAGAAGAAAAAACTCCAGTTTCTTAGGCAAGGATTCAAAAAACTACACCTGGCACACCCTGAAGCTAAAATATACTCTGTGGGATATATTTTTTCTTTAAAAAGCAGCAGGCTCCAGTCTGTATTCCAAATGGACTGCCAGAGTCCACTCTGTTTGAGAAGTGGCTTAGAATGGAAAAGTCTGTTTGAGAAATGTGATATCAAATTCACCGCAGGGGCTTATCATTTTTTGTGTCACCAGCTTTTCCTGACTGAAATATTTAGAGTCTCTGTTTTCCATTCTTGAGACCTCTCCAGGCAGCTTAACAATACAGTATATGTAAGATATGAACCACCATCGTTGAAGAAAAAAATGGAGAGGAAAACATTTAAGAATATTCAGAAAAACAGTATAGAGCTCCCCAACACCAAACATGCAGCAACTTCAAATTGCAAGTGGATTGCAGAGTAAGCTTGTTTTATCTGACCCTGAATGCCACCCAAGTAGACACCTCATGGCAAAAATTTCCATAGGCCAGGTGCCACACCAGAGAAGGCCCTGTAGTGATTTGTGAATCCTCATCAACAGCATTTCTGTTAATTTCAGAAATCAAAGCAGGGGTAAACAAAACACAATTTTGAGTATCTGAATTGTCTTCCAACAAAATGACTTCTCACTTACCTGTGATAATGGCAGCATATAGCCCCTGTATTTTTTAGGCAAAAATTCAGTTTTTATTACAAGTCTGGGGGGGAAAAGAGGATAAAGTGAAAATTTTAATGAAAGAAAAAGAAAGCTCATTAGGTAGGTCACACTTGTGGTTTCAGCTGACTCAGGTTGGGATCTGAAGGCGTCTTGCCCCTGAGTCAAGGCACAATGAATGGCCACTTACAGGAACAGAGACCAGGGCCATGCCATAACATTTTGCTACCTGAGGCAAAGGAGAAGATACCACTATCCCAGCTTCACTGTATGTTTAAAAGCCAATCTACTCCAGCAATGACAATAGGTAAACATCCTCTACCACCCCCAAGGGCAGTCAACTTGTCTAGGCAGTGAGGGGACACTGCTCAGAAAACAAGAGTGCTCTTATGCTACCCTCTTTGAATGCAGGCCCAAGGAAGTACAATGTCTGCGCATATCCAAAGAAGGAAGGAAGGTTGAGACTTGGGTTGGATAGATTCGGACTCGGTAGGGTGTTTTCACACCAGTGCTCCTTGCCTCATGTCAGGGGCAGGGAATGTATGGCCCTTCAGAAGTGGCTGAAGCTTTAATTGGACCCCATTGGCTATGCTTCCACTAGCCTTGTTTTACATTATCATTCCATCACTTGTGACTAGCAACTTGAAACGTCTGTTAAGGTTCACAGTCCAAAAGAGAGTCCCAGATGGATCACTTCCAAGAAAGCTTAGCTGCCTGTACATGGTGCCATTTTCACATCACAAAGACATACTTTGAGTAAGAAGTTAAGGATATAAAAATTAAATTACACAGAACTGATGTTTGTCCCACCTCTCTCTTGCTTTAACCAGGACTGGCTCTAGGTTTGAGAAGCCCTCATTGAAATATTCCCCATGATACTCAGCCATGGCAGAGACATCCCCTTCAAAGCATCATCCAATAACATTAACAAGTGTTTCCCATTTTAAATTTCTCTTAATGCATTGGAGCGCCTGGGGCATTGTGGGAAATTTTAAATGGCTACTTGCAGCTGCCTGTTATGGCAGGAGGCCAGGGTGGTTGCTGGTACCAGTGGGCCCTTCTGGGAAGCTAGTAACTGACTTTCATCTTGTGAAAGACTAGAAGAATCTGTAGGCTGTCCTTCTGATAGCTGGGGTTTCCAAGAATAGCTACAGATTCAGAAGCTACCCAAAACTGAGCCAAAAAAAAACCCAACCAACCAAAAAAAGGGACACAATGATATAGTTAACCCTTTTTGCATGCATGGCATTCTGGATTTCTTTCTGCTGATCTGATTGATACGGTCCAACATTACCCTTGCGCATGACCTGACACACCACATCCCACCATGGTCCGAAGGAAGACAAACCAGATGTATGAAGGGGAAAACGATGTCAGCAAGGAGAAATAGGCTCCCCAGATGAAAGAGAAAAATAAAATCTGGATGGAGAGATTTGGAAAAGAGATGAGTTGGCTCCAGAGCAAAATTCTGTTCTTCTTGCAGACATTGAATGGTGCTTATCTACAGCTCACCTTGGGACTGGAATTAAGTTCAAGTAATGTTCAGAATGGGGAGAGAGGAGATTAAGGAGAGATATAATGGTGATTTTCAGACACATGAAGAAAATTCTCAGTTACATAAATCGTGTAACATTTAGAGGCGAGTTTCCATAAGTTAAGGAATTTCCAGAGATTCTATCTGTTGCATATGATGTCACACAACTGATTATGCAATGTATAATGTCTACAGAGATTTCTTAACTTATAGCAATTTATCTCCAAAAGTTACATTCTTTGGGTTAACTACACGACAGGATTTCAGCTGTTGTCTTCCATGTTGGGAAAGAATTGATTACCATCTAAATTTCTACCTGCACAGTGAGCATAAAAGCTATATGAGCAAGGCTAGTAAAAAAAAAGAAGAGCAACTTTAACCAGCATGAAAATGAACACCCCTCCAAACTTGCCACATGCAGCCACTTACCTTCCATCGGCCATACCGATCAGCTAGAATTCCAAATATCACACTGGATACCATATACCCAAAAAACAGCATCTGAAAGAAATTAAAGGATGTACCTCTTTGGTAGAAGTGACCTTTTAGACCTTGTGTGAGACAAAATAGGGAAGAAGGGTAGCCACTTGCATGTCCCCCTCCTCCTCAAGAGCAGCTGCATCACAAAAGAGGGCACAGATCTCCATATATACCGTATGTACACAGATGTTAATTTATATGAGAGAACCAGTGAAGTGTAGTAGGTAAAGTGTCTGACTATGACACTCGGGAGACCTGGGTTCAAACCCCTGCTTGTGCATGGAAACTCATTAGGGGGTGGCAGTGGCAAAGTATTCCTTGGGCATCTCGCATACCTTTGAAAAATCCACATAAATCTCTCAGCTTTCAGACTTTCCTCACAGGGTTTTTGTGAGGATACATTGAGGGGAGGAGAGCATGTTATCCATTTCAAGCTCCGCGGAGGAAAGGAAAGATTCACACATAACAAATGTACTTATACTGTATAACTATAAAGTAAAATGAAAAACCATCACAAGCAGCTTTATTGCAAGTTAGTACTTCCAGGAAAGGTCCTCTGAAAATTTCCCCTTAACAGAATCTAATTTCTCCAGAAATCAGCTAGGCTCAGGATTGCAAGCAAAAAGCCTTGGGAAGCCTCCGACATCAGGGCCCTTTCCCACCAAAATGTTAGATCCCAGAGAACATCTTCCAGAAGATCATCTAAGTACTTCACAGTCTAAACTAGGGAAGCAGAACCTCCTGGTCTAATGTGACCCAAGGGGCTGTTTAGGACATCCCACAACGCTCTGTTGGTGTTAAGAAGTCTTTGCTTGTTTGTGTCATCCCCCGCTGCTGGATTGCTCTCACTTTTGCTGGCCTGTTCTGCTTTTCTGTGATTGTTCCACCTGCCCCATCTGAAGGGTCTCAAGCTCTTCATCTTACCTTTATCTAAAAGTAGCTCCCACTCCATTGATATCAACCTAGGGGAAAAATATATGGGTGGCAGATTCCCTGCTCACCGTTGTCACTAAAGCCACTTGCCAATTACCCAGCTGCCATTCACACCGGATGACGGGGCCCACCACAGCAATCAGCATAATTTCCATGGCTTCTGCCACCTTCAGGGATAAACAGATACAATAATGTAAGCATACCATCTAATATTTCAAGGATAAAAGAAATTGTTTATACTCTGCCAATTGTCATTTCAAGGATCATTGCCCAAGTTTCATCTGTACTTCTGACGTACAAGTGTTGAAGTCTCTGGTTTCCTCTGTCTGCTAGATTCAGTACCTCTGAGTTACCTATTTTCAAAGAGTTCAGAAGCATCAAGGCTCTTGGTCTTTTGATGAGACACATCTTGAAGCATTTAGAAGTAGTTATTTATACTTAGGGTAATCACCACGTGACAGGATCATTCTCTGAGCCATCACCAGTGGATCCCTCAAAGTCCAGTGCTTTCCTTGAGGTGGAGGAAATTCTCTCTCGAGCTGCTACAATCTGAAATTTACATACCCTACTGCACTCCAGACAAAAGTTGCTGTATTTTAAAAGTTGCCACCATTTCACTTGAAAGTGGAGCACAGAGAGCACTTTTCACATGCTCTAAAACTCATACAATAGTCATGGTTGAGATGACTAATCACAAGATTTTAGAATCTGGTTTCTCTAAACGCCATCTCCAGAGCTAAGGTCTTTTAAAAGTTTATTGAAATATAGTAAAACAAATAAAAACAAACTGAAGAATAAGTCTGGCTGAAAGCCAGAAGACAAAAGGTTACAAACTCATGAAATGGTTGCAAGATAAGGAACAGGTTTTCAAACATCGGTAAAGAAAATGTAGACAAGAAAATAATCACTATTCTGCCAGAGTGTTAGGTTTCTCTGTTTCACTCCTCCAGCACTAGCTTCTTAGCAGCCCCAAGGTGGCTAACATAGTATAGTGTATGACTAAAACCCTTCCTGCTAAAAATCTCTTCAACTCATCTCTCTCTGTGGTCCATTTCTCTCTATGCCATTCCTCCTTCCTGTCTAGTCTAACTCCTAAATCCCTTTTCTACTTTAGAATCTCAACACTGCCTTTGATGCTCCCCTGTGGACTTGAAGTCTGGCATGATTCCCTTTGATCTAATCCTTAAACCACTGGTGTTCTTGTTCAGCTCTCAATACCTCTCTTCCTATTCAGGTGTAATAATTGCCTCCAAATTGTTTATCAGAATTTCCATTCAAGCCATCTAGCTCTCTAAATTGCCTCCAAATTGTTTATCAGAATTTCAAGCCGTCTAGCTCTCTACATATCAGAGACGCATTTGTAGCCTTGCCACCTGCCTATCTCCAACTACAATCCCTTCTAGATAAGACACATCTTGATACAGGAAATCTGAAATCAAATCATGAAATCAACATGTAGTGTGTCAGTTTCTCTACAATTACCATTACAAGTTTTGAAGTAATTATTTACTTGTTTTAGGTTGGACACTGCCTTTTTTGGTTCACTAAAATGTTACAAACAAGGTAACCTTTTGAGATCTACTAGTGCAAGTAGACCAAGCAGTTCTACAACGTCTTTCACCCAACTTTCCTACCTTATGCTCAAATTTTATACCATTTTAGTCTGATAAAGAGTTCTGGCAGAACTCTAAAGCTTGCTTTGTTTTAAACTTTTTCATTACTACCTCAGGACAGTTCCTGTCCACAAAAGCTCACATTAAAATACAGCAGTCTTTGAGGTACGTACCACAGGGTTTTGTCTTCTATTATTCATTCATTCATTCATTCAGTTTTCAAAAATACCAGTCACAGTCAATCAAAATTACAAAAACGTTGAATGGTATTATATAACAGATACAAGTTTTAACTACAAGCCTGAGTATCTATTAAATATTGGCACAGTATGAATGCTGTTCCTAATATTACCACCTTTTGTAGCTCTGTTGTTGGCATTGTCGTTGTCGTCATTTTCTTTGGGTTTTGAATGAAAAGCTTGCTGTGGCAAATTACAGGTAATTAATACGGTGCCAGGACATATCTCAATTATACACCTGATTGTGCAACTGAGATGGACTCTCTCACAATTCACCAGGGCAATTTACACTATTTATTATACAAAGACCAGTAAGATTCTGGCCAAAAACATTTGTGATTTAATACTATCCAGAACAGTCCACCTGAAACAGCAGCCTGATTCTATGCAGTCGCAAAACTCGCTCTTGATGATAGTTGGATACAGCTCATGTCTCTCATGTTCTTGAAGACAGGTGGCCAGAAACAACCTCCCAAATCCTAATTTTTATCATACTTTTATTTCAAAAAATTATGATAGATGTTAAGTTTCAGCTTTAGGTTATTGTATCTGCCAGTAAAAACTTACACCAGTGCTGCCCATGATCATAAAAAGTGCAATGTGAAACCTCCCAAAGCCAATGGTCTCCACCGCATCTTCCACTGTAAATGTCTTCTGCTCTCCAGCATCTCCCGCAGTAGATCTTTTCTGCTCTAAAACATTGAGAAAGACAGATGAGATTAGCAATAAAGTTGGTTTCATGGGAGGCACAACCTCAATCAGGACACTAGGTAAGTATATTAATATTACTCTTCAATGAGAACAGAGAAGTCAGAGAGGAAAACTTCTGTAACAAGATACCACTGAATCGTTGGCCATCTTGTGACAAAACTATAGAACTACACTATCCACATAGTCTACAGCCCAAATAGAAGTAATCAATGATTGCTGCAAGATGCCATGTTAACAATTAAAAAACCTTTGGAAGTTCAAAGAACTCTGCCAACAAAGTGGAACTAGTTTTTTAGTTTATTGATTTTGAGAATTAGGGAGAAAACAAAATATCAAATAAACACGATCAGCATGAGGAACACCCAAAGTGCAGGAGAAAATCATTTGTCTGCATACATTTAAATGAGTGTTATTCTAGTGCAATTGCATGAGATTCAGTCTGTCTCCAGACTCATTCAAAATGATGACCTTTAAAGCCCATCATACACTGTGATTTCTATTGGAAGAATCTGGCTATTGAGAAATTCATCAGAGGCCCTCTTTCACATCTTGGCATCCAAGAAGTACATTTAGTTAAAGCCAGAAATGGATTCGGAGCTTGGAAGCCTTTGCTGGCCAACTTCTGCTGTCCTTCCACTGGCATACAAAGACTTTCCTAACTGAGGCAGGCCTTTGGCAATTGGCTAAGGACAAGAGTTTTCAATGTATTGCACTTTTCTATTATATTTGCTTTCCGATTAGTTTTCATATATTTTAAGCATTTATGACTACAGTTTCCCATAGCTGTAAAATTTTTGTAGTTTTACAACTTGAAGTATTGCTGTGCTTTACGGAGCATAGAAACAATGTAAATGAATAAAGCTTGTAGATTTAGGCAAGCTGATGGTGCTTGGAGTCATTACAGCAATGAAAGGACTTGAAACCGAGATGAATTTTGATATCATTGGAAAAGATTATCTAGTTTCATTTTGCAATTAATCCTTAGCTAGGATAAATGCTAGCTGGATAAGTGCCAGCTATGATGAACATAGGTTTCTGATTCCCCCCCCCCGCCCCAGAGATCTATAAAGTTTTAAAGGGCACTTGGGGAACAGATTCTCCAAGAGTTTCCTGTTGATTGAGGCGGCTTCACACTTCATAGGACTATCTATTGATATCTGGGTATGTATACAATCAACATTCTTACTGTTTATTACTTTTGTCAGTAATGCTATCATGTTGCTAATCTATTTCCTCTGCCTACCCCGTACATAGGATGTGGCTTTGCTTCTTTCTAATATTTCTGGAGTAACGGATGGACCAACAAAAGATCAAACTGAAATAAAGTGTCGCACCGTTTCTAATTTTTGTTTTTTGTTTTTCCTCTGTGGTTTTTTGTTTGGCTATGACATGAGTTACTGTCAGCATTTTTTAAAAAATTACAAAAGTCACTAAAAGGGTCCTTGGTTGTCAAACCCAATCCTCAAGAGTAACATTTGTGCAAAACTGAGTAAAACAAAACTGTGCAAAAACTAAAAAAAACCCAACAACACCATAATGTTTGCATCATTTTTCTTCTGCATTTAAAAATATGGTGTTTGTTTTTGTAGTCCCTTGGTTACTACAGTACAAATTGCAATGTGGCTACTTATGATGGGATGCTTCCAAGCTCTGAGCATCAACAATTTGGTGACTATAAAGATAGAGTATCACCAGGCTGTGGGGGTACTTGAATGGGTGAAACTGTACTAGTGGCACAGATTGATTAGCAAGCTGCTGTGGGATAACAGAGTCGGGGAAGACAGTGAGCTTAAAAAATCTGGGGTTATTATGAGTCAAAAGGGGAAGATGAACCTTCAAATTAAATTACCTTTCACTGGCTCTTGATTCTGGGCTCCCATTTCCTCAAGGGGAATAGCTCTGGGTATTTCTTTCTCCATGTTAGCCATCTTCAGATTATATTAGTTCCTAGAAAATGTCTTGTTTTCACTCTGTAGAGGGAAGAGGATTATAGTACATCACAGCATTATAGTAATGTCATACATTGGTTGTAATCCAGTAGTAACTCTCTACTAGAATAGACCCACTGAATCAATGGAATTTATGGAGGACTTGATTCACCAAATCACCACTGTTTCAATGGACCTATGCTAGTTGCAACTTACTACTAGATTCCAGATAGTATTATACTTTAATAATGCATTTGATGACATTTGCCTTTTCTATATTAATTAGGTATAAGCCCTGCTTTCCAGTCCATAAAAGACTGGCTCACAAAGACAGCTTGTTGAAATGGACGGAAAAGCATGATTTCATTCAGAGTACCGTATATTGGAATGTGAGAGACAATTTCTTCTGGGTCCTCCCATAACTCAGCCTTACCTCGTCAGTGTCCTTCAGGTGGGGCTGGCTTGATGACCACGTGACTCCTTTGCCACTTGCCAAAAAGAATTCGCACCTGGGCCCATACCTGAACTAAAACCGTGAAGCTCACTGTGGCTTCTGGCTAACCAGTGCCTGACCCTGCATCGTGGGGCTTTTGACAAAGAGCAGAATAGGAGAACCATGTACCCATTGCTGAGCTTGTTGAAGGAAAAGCGGGTATAAATGCAACTAACAATAAGCACTAATTATCCATGAATGGGCATTATGTTTTTATATATTTCTTTTCTTGCATTTCTGTCTGCTCCATTCATTCTCCAGTTCCTTTTGGTGCTGAACTCAGATCTTAGCCATATAACAGGAATAGTCAGAAGGTAGATAAGTAGCTAATGGTAGAACATTAGGTTAGCATATTGGTAAGAGCCTTTGAATTGATGCCTTTGAATTGTGGTACCGGAGAAAGCTCTTGAGAGTCCCCTGGACTGCAAGGAGAACAAACCTATCAATTCTAAAGGAAATCGAACCTGAGTGCTCACTGGAAGGACAGATCCTGAAGCTGAGGCTCCAATACTTTGGCCATCTCATGAGAAGAGAAGACTCCCTGGAAAAGACCCTGATGTTGGGAAAGTGTGAAGGCAAGAGGAGAAGGGGACGACAGAGGATGAGATGGTTGGACAGTGTCATTGAAGCAACCTACATGAATTTGACACAACTCGGGAGGCAGTGGAAGACAGGAGAGCCTGGGGTGCTCTAGTCAATGGGGTCATGAAAAGTCGGCTAAACAACCACAAAGAGCCTTGCATCCAATTGTTCTGCAACGGCGACGACAGGAGGGCACCCCCCCCCCCTTGATCCACGGACACGACTAAACAACTAAACAACAATGAAGAGCCTTGCATCCAATTGTTCTGCAACAGCAATGACAGGAGGGCATTCCCCCCCCCTTGATCCAAGCTTAGAATCCTCAGAGGCATCTTCACTTCATGGTGTTTGTTCAACTCCTGCCTTCATTTCCTAACCATTGCTATTTTCTAACTAACAGAGATTTGAATCATATGTGTATTTTGATGTGTACACATTTTTAAATAAATTTGCCTTTTAAATTAATTTTCCTATTTACTGAAGCATGTTTGTGTGCCTTTTTAAATCAAGCACATAAAAAAGGGAATCTTTGTTGTGTGTTTTACTGTTTGATCAGCATCTTTTTCAACAATGATGGCTGTGTGTGGAGCTCCAACTGGGGAAGGTGCCTCGGCAATCTGATGCAGTGTTGGATGTGTGCATCTAGGTACATGACCGGCATCTCATCAGATCACTGTGGCTGTTTCCTGAATTGGAGCTCCTTGTGCTTAAATATTGATTTGTGTGCATTTTACAAAGATACACAGTTAAAGTTAGTGGTGGAAGTAGAAAGAAACTGAGAAACTGCCAAGTTACAAATCTTCCCAATTACCACACATGGAGAGAGCACAAATTTTCATTTAAAGTTTTACAGACATGGAATCAAATTTGAAGAACACATCATGGAACAGAACTGCCCAGGAAACACTTTTTCTCTGCAAAAATTTACTTACCTTTTAAGAGTTCAACAGCTGGCAAAGTCTCCTTCCTTTCTCTCTGCTTTTCAAATATGCAGTGGCTTATATTTGATTACGCTTGTTGCATCACTGTGTTCGGATTACATCTCTTTGCAGTTTTTTTTCCTTCCTAAACCAAAGTACGCACTTGTTCCTTTAAAACCACTGTGTTGTGTTTAATAGCTCAGAATTAAGACTGCAAGGCCAATTAATTCCTCATCTTTGGAGAGCAGGTAGCCACACCTACAGGATCTTAAGAAGTTCATATTCATATTCATATTTATTTATTTATTTGGCTTTTACCTTGCCCATCTAGATTCAAACTAATCAACTCTGGGTGGCTAACAGTCTGAGCAATATGAAACCAAGAATGAAAACAGACAATATCAGAACAAAAGAGAGATGAGCAGCGTCCAAGATGGGAAAACACAGAGAACTATGTGATGGAAGGGGGGAAGGCCTGTTTGAAGAACCAGGTCTTCAGCTTGTTCTTGAAAACTCCCAGCGAGGGTGGCAGGCGAATCTCAGGGATCAAGATGTTCCAGAGGCGAGGGGTCACTGCTGAGAAGGCCCAGTTTCTAGTTCTTTCCTTCCGGGCCCCTCTTGGAGTCAAACTCCTCAGCCGCCCAGCCTGGCTAGATCAAGTGACACAAGTAGGCCTCATTATTCATTTAAAGAAAGAGAAATTGCACTCCCACTTTCGTGAAAAATGCAGCTTTTTCCTGAGTCACCTTTCGGCATCAACAGCACACCTGTCTTTACTGAAAAGGGCAACAGGGGTATTTCCACTGCTAATTGCAAGAAACTAGAGGAGGACAGCAGCATAATTTGCTGTTCTTTGTTCTTAACAAAGATACAAACTGGTCGGTCATCCACATGTCCTGCTCTGCTGAATTCCTCCAGCTTGTTTTTAAAAAGACACTGATGGAGCAGTTGAACCAACTTTGGCTTGAAGCAAATTGGCTATTCAAGAAGAATAATTTTGATACAGTCAGATGCAAATGTCCTTCACAACGAGGACAGCATTCTTGGGAGAGACACAGGAAAACCTGGGAAAAGATTGTGGGTGCCAGGCAAAGAGCTAGATGGGAGAAAGATAGTTTGGGTAGAAGTGGCAGAGGCAGCAGGAAATAACAAGCTGGCTCAGCACAGAATGAATTTTCTGTGCTCAGCTCTAGGTGTTTCTCAACATTATTCTGTCTTCTTCCTGCATATACCAGGCTGGCATGACTGAAGCTTCACCAAAAGAGAAGCCAAAATTGTTACTTCCATCCCTAATGACCATTGGCCAAGCTAGCTGGAGCAAATAGAAATTAACAGCCAGCATCATGTGGAGGTCCATAGGTTTTCTACTCCAACTTATGTTTATTTGGAGAGATATTATCCGTATTCTTCTCTTATGCTCCTAACTCAGCTTTTCACTTCCATTCACAAACCAAATTCTATTCCTTCCGCATATAATGAATGTATGTACAGAGAGGGTCTTAGAAAGTTAGAACTGCAAAACTGGGAGGGACCCTATGGATCATAGAGTCCCTCATGGGAGGGATGGTAGATGTGAAATGGTATGTGTTACCAACTTGTCCTTTTTTTTTGGTCTTTGCCACAACCTGGTCAACGAACTCTACCCAGCCACAAGGACTGGTGATCATTGCACACAAAAGACCAGCTAATGACACTCATCAATCACAGTGACAGATCATCTCTCCCTCTTATCACAATATACCCACAACAAAAACACTCTGATCACCATACTCCCTACTTTTCTCCAAAATTAAGGTGAAAATGATGGGTTGGGGCATTATTTGCTTCAGTCCTACTAAGTATAGTCTAATATTCAAGAGTTCCTTGCTTACCTGACAAATTCTCAAGAGGTTACCTGTGCAAACAGGGTTTTTTAATATGTATATCTATCTGGTATCTATATCTGGTCTAAAAGAGTTTGCTGTTTGAAACAGGGCGGAAAATGGCACCTCCTGTCCACTCATGTCACAATGCTAATTCGTTCTGTTTCATGAAACAGAAAAATCCATTGGTACTTCTGATCCTTACAAGTAAAACTACACTAACAAATTTAATAGCCTGGAGCAGCTGTTGCACTTTGCCCAACATTAGGGCTGGCCTTCCATACACTGAATAGCTAGAAAAGGAAAACAGAACACTGAAAATACACAAATATAAGGAGACATTTCTCAAATACTTCTGTTTCTGAGCTCTCCGAGAAAAGTTCACTTGGGCTCCAGTCCAAACCTCTGTTTTAAAGTTTTTTTTCTCTTTGCTGAAATCCCTTTAAGAAACCTTCACCAAAATCTTTAAGAAATAATTAAAGAAATGATTAAAGAAATAACCTTTCTGCTTCACCTCCTCTGCTGCAGCTTTGCTTATTCCTTTGAGTGCTTTTTGAAAGTTTCCACTGTGGACGTCAATTTTATTGGAGCTGCCATTATGCTAAACTCCACCTTCCACCTCAAACAAAGGAACACTAAATATAAATAATCCTTTTGGCAGAAAACTAAATAGAGAGAAAAGGTGTGGAAAAAAGCACTGGAGTAAGTGGGACAAGCCAAAAGTGGTTAAGATGGTGAGAAAAATATCAATAACATCATTGTGGAACCTGATACTTTAAGAACAAATGTTTCACTTGTAAGAGCCCTTGCTGTCAAGATACCAAATAAAATGGACTCTTCTGAAGGAGAGAGAAAAAATACAAGAACACATTTGTTCGCAGTCAGAAGTTATGACACTATAAATTTACATTTAATAATTCAAGATTCGGAACAGTCTGTTTCTGATTATGATGTGTGGGAGAATCTCCAGCCTGTTAATGTTAAGCCAGGAACGATTAAGATAATACGGGGTTTTTACGGTGAAGTACATTTGTGTATTGAATGCTTCCCAGTCACTCCTGAATCCTGTTTGTGTTCTTCAGGTGCCAAGACACAGAAAGGTAATCTTGGAAGGAGATTAGCTTAATGATCATTTTGTCATCTAATCAACCATTGCCTCAAGCTAAATTAATATCTTAACATGTTCTTGCTAGAAAAATCTCTAAAAGGCAATATGGCAAGAAAGATAAACAAAGAATAGAGCATACACAAGTTGGTTTGAAACAGTTTATTTCTATTTGATATCAAGCCAATGAACAAGATGTTGGTCTCATGAAAACACATAGGCCATTTTGAGAGTGTGGAGCAAATTACCTCTTTACAGCAAAGTGAGTACAAAACAATGTACGTATGGCAGGATAAAAAGAACTGCCTTAACGTACAACATAATGTACGGTAAGTACAGGAGTAGAAAGACAATTAACATCTCTTAGGTTTCATGAATGTTTGAACTTTATCACACATTTCTATCTGCTTGTCATGTACTTAATGCTATTTATTTGATGAAAACAGAATTTCAGAGGGGAAAGTGCTGGTATCTTTAGCTAATAAAATACATACAAAAAGATCAAAATGAATACTTGTAAGAGTAGAAGTTTAAGGGTTAGCAGAGTATTAAAGTAGGAATTAAAGACAGAGTGACAGAGTAGTTTAGTGTATAAGCCTTAAAAGCCAAGTGAAAGCACCTTCATTGGCACTCTTGATTTTTGTCTTTTCTCTGAAAATAAACATGGCATTTGTATGTGGGTATCTTTGTACAGTATCTCATTGCTTTTAGCCATGGAATGGATAACATAGGTTTAAATATGTAGACCCACCATATTCTCTTTGTGTAGGTAATAGGAATGCCAGATACATGTGGCTATTTCTAGCACAAAAGAAAAGAAGGTTTAAGCATACCTCCATCCAAATCCCCAACTCCATGGATGTTTATTTTTGCAACATACTAGGAAATGCCAACATGGAGCTCAGCCAGAATGGTTTGCACCTCATGGCAAATGAGGAACTTGAGCTTTAGAAAACTATAATATTCAAGCATCCCTTTGCAGAAGTGGATAAACAAACCAGGAAGAGGTGAGCATCACATGACCTCTGAATCCAGCATTAGGACTTTTGCAGTCAAACAAGCTAAGATTCTGCAGACAACAACAAAGATCCATTTAGAGCTGCCGTACAATAATATTGGCTTGTCCAAGTGCCTTGAGCCCTCATCCTCACTTTGGATGTCACAAATAGTTTTCTCATTCCCTGTTTACCTGTGCATGCAAAGGGAGGAACAAACAGGTTGCATGAACCTTCCACATTATGGTTTAGTAAGCCAGGATTCATAGTTTCTTAGGTGAGCATGACTAATGAGTCCTTCGGCTCTTCTATTTTGATGTGGAAGTTTATTTCAGAAGGGCCAGAGTGCCATCAAATGGCATAAGTGAAATAAAGTGTGTGTGAAAATACAAGAGCAGTATATTTCTATTAGACCACTAAAAAACTCAAAGAAACAACTTTCAGTGTTAATCTGTCTTCCTCGGGCTATGCACCAAGATATATATACTATAGACCAGTGCTCCCCAATCTTTTCCAAATTGTGGACCAATTGGGTGGGCGGGATCCATGGGGGGCACCCCCCGTGGTTGCGAGTGGGCAGGCCATGCGTGCAGGTGGGCATGTATTGGAGTGTGTGCAGGGGGGTGGGAGATCTGTCTTTGTGGCCCGGTCTTGCCAAGGCCATGGCCCAGGGGTTCGGGACCCCTGCTGTAGACTGTATGGCCCATACTCTCTCTCTCTCTCTCTCTCTCTCAACTATTCATATATAGAGCTAGTATGGTCTTGGTACATAGCCTGAGGAAGACATATATATATAACAGCTGTTCAGTGTTTTATATATATATATATGCTAGTGTGATCCATTTCTGGGACTATAATATATATGATAGTCCCCAAAATTAATGACAGATGATTGCATTAGACCTGAATTTTTGGGACTCTGATATTTTAGTGTCCTAATAAAGGTACCACCTGTTCTTGCATGTGTATTGTGGAATGACCACATAGCTTTTTCTTTTCTTTTCTTTCTTCTGAACAACAAAATGTGTGCTTTCTCTGTATTTAGAACGGGCCCATGGATACACTTTCAAAATACACACACTGGATGTCAGAGGGAAGATATCTAGAATAATATCCCTGTACCACATTAGACCTGGCATAGCTTGGGAAAGTTATCTTTCTGGATTCCAGCTCCCATAATCCCCTCGCTAATATGGTCACTGGCCATGCTAGCTAGGACACTCTGGAAGATGCCATCCAAAAAGAGAGAATTTTTTCCAAGCTGTGAAACTGGTTGGCTGTGGTTGTTTCAGTATTTTCTTACAAAAAAACCTATATTCTGCTTGTAACCATGTGCAGTGTATGGACCAATTTCTGCATCTTTGATAGTTCTTAATTCTCAGGGAGATTTGTAGAGAGAGAGAAGGAAAGAATAAGGGGAAGCCTGGAAGTTTCAGGTTTCCAAGTGCTAAACACTTATTCTTCTGTCCCTTCTATGATGGTCCTAAAGGAGAAGGGTGCAAATGCATAACCTGCTCCAACGTAGAATTTATTCTGGAACTCCACCCTAGGTGAGAGGGGCAAAAGAAAAAATAGATTAAATAGATTAGCATTCTATGCCACATTAAGGATGTTTAGTTCAGTACTGCTATCTGATCTTTCTATCAGCCGGCAGGATAGCTCAATGGTAGCTGCAGAACCAGAGGATGGAAGTTCGATTCCCCAGCGTGCCTCCTGCAAGTACAGCCAGCCTGTCTGGTCTTGGGCAAGGTGCACAGTCCCCGGGTGCCCCCAAAAGACGAGAATGGGAAACCACTTCTTCTGTGTATTCTCTACCTAGAAAACCCTTTCAGGGATCTCCCTAAACTAGAATCGACTTGTCAGGATATTACTGTTATCTTTCAAGGGATAAACAAAGTTGCTTATAAAAGAGAGAAAAAAGGATAATGGAACACAGTGAGATATAAAACCTGAAAACAATAGTATCTGTTGAAACAAGAGGGCAACTTTGCTAGGGGCCTTGGGGACCATGCTTCTAACCCTAAAACTAAGCTATTTAACAACACAGAATATTCTATCAGCATCTACATTTACTGTATTCCATTCTGTTTATGCATCATTATGAATAGCTTAATGGTTTAGGCATCTGGATGAAGAACCAGACGTTGAGAGTTCAATTCCCCCTAACAGGGGCTGGACTCAATGATCCAGAGGGACCCTTCTAGCTCTGCAGTGCTATGATGATGATAATTATGCATTTTTTTTAAAAAAAAAGTATACACAAACATTCTTACCCATTTTTATGTGAATTTCTCCTAATAGACATTTTTGCACATAGTTTCCCCAGTGCAGCACATTATTTTATGCTACCTTCATAAACATAGTTATTTTCTCCTAATACATTCACTTTGGCACGTAGAGTTTTTTTCCTAATCTGGAAAACTTTATTATAGAATTTGAAAAACTCTGCATGCCAAAAGATTTCTATAGTTCCTTCAGGTTTGGGAAGTGCCAATCAGGTAGGATTTTATTAGAAGGAAAACGGAATGGCCTCTCTCCCATTTTTACTCACCAGTGAAGTCTCAGGGCATGCAGGAAAGCAGAGAGACCCTCCATAATCAGCAGGATGGCTATTGTCAGAACAGCAAAGACAGCAAAGAGGATAAAAGCGGTGATGATTCCTACCCAGCTGCCCACATGAAGCCCATAGTGCAACACCATAGTCCAGAGGACTTCTGAGAGCTCTGGAAAACAATGGAGTAGAGACAGCACAAAGAAAGACAGCATGAGAAAGCAAATTGTTGACGTCCACTGGAATGTAAGTCACATTTCACTCTGCTTTATCCAATGATACAGTCCAGGCCACACTTAGTCTCATTCCTTCTGTCATTACTTTCTCCAGCTAGAAATCAAGAGGTCTACAAAAGAGAGATTCCAGATCATGTAAAGGTTCAGCTAGGTGAGGAAGAACCCTGGGAAATCAGTGTCCTTATTTACACGAACAGCCTCTATGTGGACCAAACTTCTCCTCTGCAGATGTGTCACTTCTCATGTGAGGAAAATGACAACGAAGAAGGACAAGAGCCAGGCTGGTCCTTTCAGGCATGATGGATAAAGCAGAGTGAGCAGCTATCCCTGGCAGACTAGGGTTAAGGAGAATTCAGTTTCTACAGCCCAGATATACCTCCTTCTCACCAAATGATGGCTAGAATCCTGCACTAAAGTACTGTACTAAAGAGATACAGGGATTTGACAGGGATAGTGCCACACTTCAGGTAAGTATCCACAGAGTAAATGAATAAGGTACAACCCCTGGTAAAGTGTTTAGGAATCAGAGCCCTAAATGGCCATTTAGATAATTTTCAGAATCATCAGGGGGAAAAAAAAGACATACATAAGCCGGGAGCATTTAGATAATTTTCAGAATCATCAGGGGAAAAAAGACATACATAAGCCGGGAGCTACAAAAGGGTTGTGTCTTGGGCATGTGGTCAGGTAGGAAAGCTCAAAAGGCCAGAAAAGGATCCCAGGGCCAGAGCCCATTCACCACCACCACTTAATTGAGAGGTTCACATGTGGTCTCTCAGATCCATGGATCTCATTCAAGATTAATTTGCCACTGTTTTTGCACTGGGTTGTGCTTGAGAGAAAACAATTCCCTTTCTTTGGACCCATTCACTGCTTTTGCTTTTCTTCTCATTCTGAGATATGCTGACTAACACCAGAAGTATTCACATTATTGCATGGTAACCAATCACATTAAATGCAATACAGTCGTGCCTCACTAGACAGTTACCCCGCATGACAGTTTTTTCACTAGACATTGACTTTTTGCGATCGCTATAGCGATTCGCAAAACAGTGATTCCTATGGGGGAATTTCGCTGGACAATGTTTGGTCCCTGCTTCGCAAACCAATTTTTGCTAGACTATGATTTTGACAGCAACCTCTGCGCTCACAAAACAGGTGTTTTCGGGACCTAAGCTTTGCAAGACAGCGATTTAAACAGCTGATCGGCAGTTCTCAAAGCGGTTTTCCTATGGCCGATCTTCGCTAGACAACAATGATTCTTCCTCATTGGAACGCATTAAACAGGTTTCAGTGAATTCCAATGGGGAAATGCTTTTCACTAGACAATGATTTCGCTAAACAGCGATTTCAGTGGAATGGATTATCATCGTCTAGCGAGGCACCACTGTAAAGTTAACTCTAAGCAAAAGCAACACTTCTTCCCTTATGAACATGGCTAACTGCAGTTGAGTTCCCTAATGAATGATTGCCCTCTGCAAGGTTGAGACTTTTCATTGTCTTTTGTTAAAGTCTGTCAAAATTGCCAAACCAGATAGTTGTGGGATATGGTTTTTTTATGGTGCTAAAAATGTTTTGCTCCTGAAGATGTTCCTTCTTTTTCAATCCTTTTCAGCCTAAATGTGCCTTCTTGTGTACCTATCCCTTACAGAACAGGTATACAATTCTTCTGTGTGTTCCTCTACACAGTTGTTCTGCTTGTTTCTCCTACAGTGTTTCTGCTTGTTCCTGTATACTGCCAAAACATATGGTACAACAGAGGTGAGCACCTCAGAAATGAAAACTCACGTGCATGCGCCAAGCTGAGTGCCCAGAGCCGAAGGTAGGAAGCAGTGTTGGAAATGCAACCCAAGCAGTATTCAATGGTATGGATAGCCTGGTGTACAAAGATGTCTCCAAAGTTGAACTGAAATAAGATTTTAAAGATAAGCACCAGATATAGTGAAACCAAGATCCAAAGAACAATACAACATACTTCATGAATCTGAAAGGTTGGGTCTCATTTTCTTAAAATTCACCTCAACCATGAGTAAGTCAAGGAAAGGGGATTCAGAGAATGTCATCATAACAGCTTAAAATACAGTGGTGCCTCGCTTAACGAGCATAATCCGTTCCAGCGAAATCATTGTAGAGCAAAATCCTTGTTAAGCGAAATAAAAAAATCCCATCGAAATGCATTGAAAACCTGTTGAAAAAAATCCCATCGAAACACATTGAAAACCTGTTGAATGCGTTCCAATGGGCTGAATAACTCAACGTCCAGCGAAGATCCTCCATGGGGCGGCCATTTTCTGTGCCTGTAAAGTGAGGAATCAGTCCAAAAACACAGCAGGGACCCATTTTACACAGCGAACGGCCATTTTCAAGCCGCCAATCAGCTATTTTAAAAACATTGTCTAGCGAAAAATCAGTTCCCGAAGCAGGGAACCGATCGTCGGGAAGCGAATTTTGCCTATTAAGATATAATTTTGCGATTGCAAAAGCAATCGTGGATCGTTGGGAAGCGAATTTTGCCTATTAAGACATAATTTTGGGATTGCAAAAGCGATCGTGAAACGGTCATGGTATAGCGGTTTCATCATTTAACGAGGCAATCGTTAAGCGAGGCACCACTGTATTCACATTACATTGTCCATGTGTACACGTGAAAAGTGAGACCAGGGAAACAATGAGGTGTTGCACTGTGTCTTTACTCAGATTTTTTCATTTCTCCGGCCTACCTCTTCCTCATGGTCATCATGCCCTCCGTGGCTGCCACCACCACTGTGGTCCTCCAGGTCTACTTTCTTTGTGTGGTTAGACTCTATGATCTCCACCTCAATATCGCCAGTTGGACTTTCTGACAATCCAGATGAAACCAGCTTAAGAGAACAAGAGAGATAATTAACGATAGGTGTACATAGAGCCCTTTCAGCCATCCTACTTCCTCTCCAAAACGGAAGCTCTAAAACAAAATTATTCCTGATTATGGCTCAGTGGCAGGACCAGTGGGAGGAACATGTTACCAGTAACACAAAGCGTTACCTCTTACTTTTGGGGGTGTAAATGCAAAACCACACAAATAGTTATTTGCCTTTGGGTAACAGTGTTCCTGCCATTACTTACCGAAAATAATGAAAAAGTTAATGAAAAAATAACCACCACCTGTGATGGCCAGGATTTTTGGGAGTTGAAGTCCAAGAACATCTGGAGGCCCAAGGTTGGAAACCACTGCTGTAAAGGACATGACATTACTGTATTCGCAAAGCCTTTCACGGCCGGGATCTAATGATTATTGTGGGTTTTTCGGGCTCTTTGGTCGTGTTCTGAAGGTTGTTCTTCCTAACGTTTCG